TCGGTGTAAAAAAGAGTATAGCTTTTAGGAAATGATGATACAGAAGCCAAACCATTCACATGGAAAAGAAATACATTTATCTATGTTAGTGAGGGAAATACTTCATCATATGTAGAAGACATATTAATATATTAATGTGTGTTAATTATCTTAAGTGTCATATATCATTAGGCTCTTACACAAATGCTCACTGTCCATGAAAATAAGTGGTCAACACTACTGATTAATATCAAAAAGATTCAGAATACAATGCAATAGATTCATTGCGAAGTCACATTCACTGATTACAATTTTATCTCAGGCCAGCTCACTGTGTTTATCTAGCCCATAACTCCATCAGTTCTACTACAACAATGTTATGGGAGACAGCGTTGAAAGCTTTGCAAAACCCAGTGCAACAGCCATTGCTCTCCTTTCATCTGCCATGACAGTCAATTCATTATAGAAGGCTGTCAGGTTGGACGGGCATCATCTACCCTCCATAAATCCCTGCTGCTTACTCCCAATCACTTTCTGATCCTTAATATTTTTGGAAGTGGCTTCCAGGAGGATTTGCTCCATCACTTTCCCAGGAATCAGTGTAAGGCTGATCGCTGTAGCTCCCTGGATCCTCCACCTTCTTGAAGACAGGAATAACGCTTGCTTTGTTGCAGTCCTCAGGAACATCTTCTAATCACCACAACTTTTCAAAGACAGTAGAGTGGACTTGCAATGATATCAGACAGCTCCCTGCATGCATTCCATCAAGTTCCTTGTTTCAGCCGCTGGTCTCAGGGGGCTGGGATTCCTGAAGGCAGGTCTTAACAGTAAAAATGGAAGCAGAAAAAAGGCATTGAAGACATATGTTTTTTACATGTCTTTTATCACCACAACCATTCAGCAGTGGCCCAAAATTTTCTGCAGCATTCAGAATCACAGAATGGTTATGGTTGGAAGGGACCTCTGGAGATAAACTGGTTCAACCACCTACTCAAGCAGGAACACTTAGAGAAGGTTGCCCAGAACCATGTCCAGGCAGCTTTCGAGTATCTCCAAGGTGGGAGACTCTACAACCTCTCTGGGCAACCTGTGTCAGGGCTCCGTCACCTGCATAGTAACGTGCTTCCTGAACCAGTTCTCCAGTTTGTGCCCATTGCCTCTTGTCCTGTTACTTGACACCACTGAAAATAACATGGCTCTGTCCTCTTTGCATGTTACTTTGTTCTTACTGTTATTGATATGTCTACAGAAGCCATTATTATTGCCCTTCTTGTTCCTACCAGATTCAACTCCAGATATATTCTAGCTTTCCTTAATCCACCCCTGTGGAATTGCACTGCAATTGGGCAGTGCTTGTGACTACATTCCTCCTGGCTGGCCTGACTCTGCTTCCAACTCATAGTGTGCTTTTTTATGTTTGAGTTTTTACATCTGTTTTTCTGTCTTAGTTTTTTTCTAGAGCTCTTTGCACATCCATGCAGGCTTTCTGCTGCTTTTGGTTGATGTACCACATGTGGGGATGGATGATTCTTGAACATGGAGGAGGTATCTTTGAGTATTAACTAGTTTTCTTTGTCACCTTTTCTCTTCAGAGTCACATTACATATTATTCTTCCAAGCAGGTCCTTGAACAGGCCAAAGTCTGCTCTCCTGAAGTCCAGGACATGTTTTCTTTTCTCAGGATCCTGAACTCCACCATCTCCACAGTCATTGAAAGCAAAATTGCCAGTGACCTTTACAGTTCTTGCAAGGTCTTCCTTGTTTGTAATGAGATCCAGCAGAGCACGTCCTCTCATCGGTTCCTCAGTCACTTATGTCAGGAAATTATCAATGTATTCCAGAAACCTCCTTGACTGCTTGTTCCCTGCTCTTCCTCTAGCAAATATCAGGGTGGTTTACATCCCACTTGAGGACCAGAGCCTGTGAACATGAGGCTTCTTCCAGTTGTCTGAAGATCTCATCACCTCCTTCTTCCTAAAGACATCCGAAGCAGGCACCCACAGCATCACCTGTGCTGGTAAGCCCTCTAATCCTGACACATAAGCTCTTCATAAGCTTCATCATCCATCCCACAGCAGAGCTCCAAGCATTCTTGCTGCTCTCACACGTGAAGGACAACTTCCCCGCCTCACCATCCTAGCCTCATCCTTCCTAAAAAGTCCACATGTATACATTTTGACATTCAAGATGCAAGTGCTATTATACCATGTCTTTGTGATCTTGGTGAGGTCATAGCCCTACAATCTTCTATTGCTTGGTAGAAAATAGAAAAAATATTTTTTCTTTGGATGTTAAAGCATCCTATAAAACTAAATAGACCTTCTCAACCAATTAGTTTTACAGGAGCAGGTATATGTAAAACCTCCAAAACTGGTAACTCATATTATTAAATGTTATAGGTTTTAACTTCTACTCATCTGCATAGTGTTTTTATTCTTGTTAAGACCTATAAGTTTGTTCTCTTTAACATGATAATTTATGGTTTGAGGTTACAATATTTCTCCTCTGAAGAATATTCAGTTTGCACCTACATAACTGTGTTGTGCATTCACAGTACATAAAGTACAGACCAGTCTAAAGTTTTCTCATTGACTCCAAGAATGGAAGCTGCATGCTTTCAAAAAACCCTTAAGGGACATAATAGCTATGGGTCCTGAGGCTGTGTGATCATGGTCCAATAAATACCTACTAAAAAGAAGATGAGACTTTAACCAATTAACAAATACATGATGGACAAATATAAGAAAATAACAACACAGCTTTGGCCAGTTTCATTAATATCCTAGTGACTGTCAAGATTTTTTTGAAGACACCAAAAAGAAAGTAAAAGCTAGAAGACAGCATTTAGAAGGAAATTACAAGATGAATTCACACAAAAAAATATGGTTATTTTCCTTGGGAAAAAAAGGAAGTATGAAAAATAAACAATGACCAGGATTCTCAATGGTATGCAGGCACTGTATGAGATGCCTCAATCCATACTTATTTGAGGATCTGGGCTACAATTGCTTAGATTATTATTTATTTATTATTGCTAAATTTATTATTATTATTTTGTAGGATGGTTGCCTAAAATCGTGGAGAGATAGAGAAGGGGTTGGACATAATAAACATACCACAGGGACAAGCAGTTAAGGTGGTTCCTTTTGGTAAGGCATCTTCTGCATTGTCCTCTGGCTATAATATCACCTACCCTTGAGAATATATTCTGTATGACGGCTGTGAATAAATAGCATTAAATTTTAAAAACAAGCTGCAAGTTAACTTGAATTAGGTGTAGAAAATATGATGAAACTGGGTATCTGTAAGTATGTGAGAGAAAATAAGCCTCAGGGATGACAGATAGTAATCACAGCAATGCAATATTGTTTCTTATGTAAAGGGTCTTTTATGTAAAGGGTCTTTTAAGACATCAGAATCATCACCCCCATTCCACAGCTAGATCAGCTGATGTTCCAAGAGGCAAAACTCACAAGGTCACTCACAAGGTCAGTTGCAGAGCAGGGAACAGAAATCCCACTCCCTGAATCACTGTCCCATTCACAAGGCCATCTGATAATGGCAAATCATCTGCAAAGAATAATCGAAAATGGAGAATATAGCCAAGAATTTTTTCATCATTACTGTGAAGACAAGGACAGATTCCTACTGCATTTTCTTCTGTAAGGTCAAGCGACAAGTTATGTTCATGCCACTTGGACTTCAGAAAGATCTCCCATCACGGGTCCTTGGAGAATCATGTTGGAAATATCAAAAGAAAGAGCAGGATGATATAAATGGAGATACAATATGCACTGATTAATGATAACTTCCAGTGACTAGATACAAAGACTTCCTGTCTGGCCCCAATATACCTTAATGCAAACAGCCATTCACTTTACTAAATACACCTCAGGAAATAAACATCAGAATTAAAAATTTAATATATATTTTTCTTAATTGACATTCACTACTAATTATAAACTTCCATCCATTTTAGCTTCTTCACACCTCCAAACCACCTCCCTATTATCTCTTTTTCTTGTGCTGCACCTCTGATTTGCAGAAGTCCATTTCTACCCCACATTCACTGGTTACTACAGCTGGTCAGTGCAGGTTCCTCCCATCCTCAGGTATCTTCCACTCATATCCCGTGCCCTTCCCCACATGCCTCACTTCTCCAGTCAACAAAGTGTGAAGTAAAGCAGCAGTGCTGATGTGAGACACTGGAAGAGGTGAGAAGTTGAACTGATCAACATCTAATTCACATGCCAGGAATTAAAATGCAAAATGTAAGTATTGCGATTACAAGAAGAATCACCTGGCAAAAATGAGTAGCAGACAGTGACACTTTTAAGAAGGTTGTTTTTTTGTTTGTTTGTTTTTGTTTTTGTTTGTTTGTTTGTTTTGTTTTGTTTTTTAAATTACAAATTTGAAAGGTGTTTAATTTAGACCTCCTGGGTTAAGGCTCAGCTTCTCAACACACACCAGCATATAACCACATGAGAAGGTGCAGACAGTGCTAAACCAGCCCCTTCTGAACTGGTCCAGAAACAGAAGCAGGAGAAGCAAGACTGAGGAGATAGAAACACACTCTCTCTGTGTCTATAGCCCAGCTTGGACCCAAACAACATTTTGCAATGCTTGCAAAGCATTATGAACAAAGATTTCTACTACTGCTCCTACAGACTCAGCAAACCCAACATGTATTCTGAGTCTTAAATTTTGGCCCACAAAGCAAAAATACAAAATCCTGCTGTGCTAAAATCAGTTCACCTTTGGATGTCAGACCTTGTCAAGACAGCAGTGAGCAAATGTAGCCAGACAGTTCCCAAGGTGGAAAGTCTTAACAGTTCTGTCCTGTGTTGCTCAAGTCACCACAAGTTTTCAGGTCTCTGCCATGTGCTTTGTTTCATAATAGAAGTTCCTAATAACCAGCACTAATTCTGATAGTGATGCAACATGTAATGTTGTTTTAGGGTTGGAGGGAACACTAGCCAGAGATACAGCTCAAATACATTGCCATAGAAACAAACACCTACAGTCCACTCTAATGCTGCCCTTGGTTCCTTCACAGGTCCATTGGAGACTGCAATGTTGAGGGAATGCACAGGAGCCAAGTGCTGGAGGCCTGACCTGGAGATAGCTTTCCTGCAAATTGAAAAGATAAATAAATAATAAATAAACAAATAAATGGTGCATATATCACATATAATCATCCAATATTATTATCCACCCCACCCTTCTCCAGAAATCAGAAGAGGAAGCACAGCGTCTAATTTCAGTTTGGGTGAAATGGTGCTTGAATGCCATCTTCTGCTAAAGCAGTTTAGGAAAAGCATAAAGTAATCTGATCACTGAAAATTACTGTTTAATGAAGATCAGTTACTCATCTGGCACTAAGCTGAAACATCAATCCAGTGGGCTGCATATGGTTCTGTTTGCCAGTTTCAGCGGAGTCCCCATTCATTACACTTATTCTTTACATACCAGCAGAACCTGCTGAATCAATTTATGCATAATTCCAAATAGCTTTTATTGGAGGAATGAAATATGAGTTTATGCCAAAAATGCAACATCTGGCAGCTTTACTTTGTAGGCTGAGGAAAGCCTTCCATTCAGCATCAGAATATGTAAACATGACACTGGGACACCACTTAGGAAAGAGAGTTATGCACTACCCTTCCTGATCGTATCAGCATGCCCTCAAGGTATTACAGCTGCTTTCCACTTATATTTCAATTCTATCTTTTTATTCCAAAGTCCTTCTTAAGACATAAATACGGCATCCTTCAAAGGTCACAGATGTTGACCAGAAGCACCCCTGGAGCTCACAAGGACTGTGAGCATTTCCACCAAGCTGCTTCCCCAGCTGCACTCAACCCTGCAAAATCAGTCTTGAATAGCAAGACATTAGGTAGGAGAACAACACACTGCTGATACAAAGTTCAGCTGCTCCTGGATGATAGGTTTCATAAAGCTTCATAACACTATTGTGTTTTATATTTTAGCAGCTGATGGCAGCAGCCAAAACAATCTTACAGATCCAGCAATGATTTAGAACAGGACTTAAAAATAAGCAAAACCAAAAACCAAATCTCAAAGAGAGATCTCCTTTCATATGCCCAATGCACTCATCCCTCACAAAATGAAGTGACAGTCTGTTTGTGTAAAGTACATTTTTGTGATACCACTCCCACAGTGCAACAGCTATTTATGGCTATTTATAGCATCTCCTCATCTTACCACTGTCCCATGGCAATAAAGGTCAATTGAGCCAGTGATGACAATCCAGGTCAGCCATATGCTAAATAAATCTTTTCATTGTCCTGAAAATATACAGTGCAGTACATATCCATGGTAAAGGAGCTCGGAAGCATCGTTGCTCACAGCATATGTCCGGAAAAAACAAGAGGGCTGAGTCAGAATGTCTTAAATTCCCTTTCTTGTGGGTAGCATGAGCAACTCAGCACATTAACAATAGCCTCTGGTCATCCAGTGTTCCCTTTCCACTTAACAGTGGGAAAGACATTGACATTAAAAGGTTTTTCCAAGATATTTTACATTTGACTAAAACCCATTAGAACAAGGGAGCCAATGAAAAGACTGTCACTACTTGGCAATGTATCAGGAATGAACAATTTAGCCAAAAAGATTTTATGCCATATATTTCAGCACAACATAATCTAACATGCCTTCTCAATGACCAGACGAAGGCCTTAAAGAAATGAACCAAAAGAAACTACAAAAATACATTTTCAAATATTTCTAAAAAGTGTCCAATATTTGGCAGTCTCCTTCCATGTTGTTTTGCTATCAATTTAGTTATTAATTATTCCTACACACAATGATACATCCTCTTGTCTAGTCAGTTATAACATTACAATTTGTTCTGGTGAAAATGGGACTGCATCACATTTTCCATCCTGCATCACTGACAGCAATAAACCCAACCAGTGGTTACTTAGTCCTGCCCTCATAGCAAAGGAAGTTTCTACTTTGTGCAAAGTACTTAAGCAAAAGTGACTTAATACGTGTTAGCAACTAATAATTATTTGATGAAAAACACCAACATTTCAGCTAACTCTGCTCACAGCCTATCACTTGTCAGGCAATACAACCAGTAAAGTTGGATCCCTCCACTACAATAACTTAATAAAGCAAAGTTTGCTATGACTATTCCATGAATAAATTCATCTGACCAGTCTGAGGACAAGGCTTCCAGCTGGAAGGCAAATTCAGCAGACTTAGGTAAATATATCTAATGAATGGCTACAGGCATCACAGCATCCAGCTTTCGACACTCTTTCAAGTTAGAATTAGAGACGTGTAAGCCTCCTGTAGCAGAACCCACTCAAAGGCAAGCCGAGGTCAATGAGTCTTTTGGGGGAGACTTGGCAGAGCTTTATGCAAACAGCCAGCCCTTCCTTCGCATGCCAGGCTGGATCTAGGGCTTTGGCTGGAAAACACAGGCATGGAAACGCTTTTTTTTTTTTTTTTTTTTTCTCCAAGTTTGTTTGAACACAAAAGCCTTAAAATGATCTCAGGGATCAGGATATTGCATGAACTAGGCAGAAATGACACTTAGACCCAAGGGCAAGCTAAAAATGCCTACTCCCACACAGGTTCTTATCAGAATTTTGTCTTGGGACAAAGAGAGACAACACAGTGTGCACCACAAAAGCAAAAATAATATATATATATACACACATATATAAGAGGTTGGACTAAAGAGCAAGCAAGTGCATTTCTAAAAATTTTAATTCAGAAGAGAGAGGGAAAAAATGGGGGAAAGGAAGGGCAAAATAAATTCAATAACAGAGCAGATGCAGAGTATCCAGGTGACTATCGCATATTGCCCTAACTAGCACATCACACCATCTGGCATTTTTCCAATAGAAAGGTAACAAGAGGCTTTCAGTTATCTTCCCCAGCAATTTCATCTCTACTGTGCTGAGTGCATGAATGAAAGCAGAGGCTCAACAGGCAGCCTTTCCCATAGAAGTGAGAGTAATCACTATTCACCTGATAAGAGATAGCCAGGAAAAGTGAATCTGTATCTTCCTAATATATTCCATTCTTCATACAATGAAGTCCACAACTTTGCTAAAATGGGCACACCAGCCTGCTTGCAAACTCAGGAGAATAAACAAACGTGGCAACAAGCAGCAAGGAAATGCTGCATCATAATGTAAAGAGTTGTATTTTCATAATTACTTTTACGGACCAAGTAGCAGTAATTTGCAATAGATGGTATTATCAACTGATTTCACACATTACTACTGTGAACAAGCATAGGTGTACATACACACGTATGTAATTAAAAATACAGCATAAAAAAATTCTGATACTAGTTCCATATCTCATGCTATTAGGGAAGCTCCAACACAGAAGCCAACTGCCTTGGAAAACAAAAGAAATCTGGCATACAAGCTAGGCAAGTATAACAACTGCATTAAAACAAACAAACAAAAATCTTTTTCATTTTGCTGAAAAGTCAGGCAAGACACAACCTACTTGTTAAATCAAAGGATATATACTTTATTAGGGGGATATTTGAGTTTATATCCCAGAATTTGGCCTTTTCCTCCAACTTGGGCATAAAAAAGTCCTCCAATGCTTGGTTTATACTGAATAGTTATGCCCAAACCCTCAAAGACCATACAAGACAACTAGTCAATAGTGTTTATCTCATTTAATTTTTCAGAAAAACTATCTGCAAATGAAAGAGCACGGTAGAGCTGCACATGGTTAATAGGTTTGAGCATGATTTCAGCCATCACTGGGGTTGGAGCTGCTGCATTTCCAGGCTGGGGTTATTATCCTCCTTTTCACAGGGGTGTACATTAACTATTATTAGGATAGTCTTTAAGATGGAAGGCTGAGAAGTCAGAAGAACACAGGGATTGACTTCCACAGGGCCTATGGCAAGGACACCCACCAGGAGGCATATTTTGGGCGTCTTTTCTCAGATGGAGATAACCTAGATATTTAGCAAGAAAAGAATAGTCCGTTGTATAACAATGTTTAAGTTACAGTGCTCTGTTTTTCTTAAATATTCAGTGTAGACAAACCCTATACTTGCAAGCTCTCAAGTCTGCCAACCACAATTAGAAAATCCCTGCACACAGCCAGCCAGTACCTGCACTCTATATGAACAATCTTTGTGCCAGAGTCTGTTGGAGGTGGTTTTCACTCCTGCAATTTGGTCCTTATGAAAGTCATGAACAAAATGTACTGGCTGAACTCTGACATTATTTCAGCTTTCGACATGCATCTCCACTGACTGCTCTGCACTCCTGCAACCTGCTGTTCCCAGTTTGCCTTCAAGGCATATAATGTTCTCCTTTGCAGCTAACTACAGGGCAACATCTCAAATCCACTGTAACATTCAAGATTTCTCTTTTTTTTCTTTTTTTTTCTGCATTAGATACGAAAGGAGCCATCTTCAGTTAAATTAAAAAAAATAAAAATAAATAAAAACGTCTGGTCCACTATTACTTTTCTGGCAACAGCCAGTAGCAGGTGCTTAGAGAAGCACTGGCACAAATTGGGTGATCCTTCCCCTGACATAGTCCAGTCCCAGCTTCCAGTAATCAGTAGTTTAAGGACTTCCTGAGCTGGAGGCTGCTTCCAGACCTTTGTGCTTAATAGCCTGTAATGGCTCTTTACTCTAGGAATGTGTTGGTCCTTCCCTGAACCATTTATACTCTTGGTCTCCACAGCAGCCTATGTAATGAGCTCCACAATTTGATTATGGGCAGTGTAAAGTACTTCCTTCTGTCTGTTTTTAAAATTCTGTTTGATAATCTAATCCGTGTATCATATTGTGAGGAACAGTGAGTAATCATCTGCCTCTCTACACCTTCTGTGATTTTATGAATCTCTGTTCAGATACCCCTTCATTCATCCATTTTTTCCTTCCCCCAACTTGAAAGCACCCTACACCATTTGGGCTTTTGCTGGTGCTGAAATTTTTCCAACTTTGTCAACCTTTTCTAGCTAAATTATATATTTTATTTATTTATTTATTTATTTTGGTAGGATTGCCAGAACAAGAAGTATTCAAGTTCTGGCTGCACCAAAATTTATTCAGTGGCATCATCAAACTTCATGTTTTGTTCTCTTTTTCTATTTCCTTCATATTCTCA